TGGGGTTTTTCAGGGTGGTTAGCACATAGGCCTCTGGAACGCCTTGTTTGTAAGTTTTTATATAGAATAACTTATCGTATAATATGTTGTGTGTTGTTTCGTGTGTCATTGCCATTATTAATAAATATTTGTTTAACCTACTGTGCCTGAACTATTACTCTTTTCACCAAAGCTGTGTCAGGGAACAAAGAACTCAGGTGCATCCAATTATACCAACTGCTCTAGGCAAATTGTTTACAAGTTGGGGGTTATAATTATTTAATTTATTATTGATTAATCCGCTTGTTCTATTCCTGATATTCACTATTTACATAACCCTTATTTATAACAATATTATAACACAATTGAAAATTTCAATTTAAACATTTTCCCCAATGAACTATTATGTTCAGCAACTAGTTACATAATGATCCAAGAAATTTGTGTTGAGGTCTGTAGAGTTAAATTCTATGCTGATAAATTAAAAAACAAAAAATATTTCTGTTGGACCTTCTTTAGATGTCACAGATGTTTCAAACTGAAATGCATTTCATTTGTTATTTAGTTAATAATACTATAAATACTGACAACTTTAAATACAAATATATTCTACGTCATTCACAGCTCACAGTGTGGATTTTGTTTTGAGAGTGTGGATCTTGTAGCCTTTTTTCAGTTAATTAGACTCTTCTCAGGCCACTTCACCATGCAAATCCTCTGCAGTTTAAGATCAGAACTAGTAATAATTTCTCTTCATGCCATAAGTCTTCCTTTAGAGTTAATCACCTTGTTTTTGTAGCCATCATCAAGGTTGTGGAAGTCAGTAGCATTTTACCTCCAATCATTTGGGTAATATTATGCCTTTCCCTATGAATGGTACTGATTAGACTTTTCCTATCAGTGCCAATCAAAGTAATGCCCATTTACTAACTTCTGGAGGCTTTGTAAAACTCACATTACAAATAAAAAGTTGTATACTTTTTGACTGTTTGACAGGATATGAATATATATGAGTTTATAAAGAATTATATTTACCAGTTGTACTGTTGATATATATGCTGGTCACACCTGAAAAAAACCATACAGCTTACACACAGTTACAGTTTCTTCTTTGCAGTGCAGAATTAATCTTTACTTAGTTCTATTCTCATAGTCATATGTTTTTACAGTCCAATTAATAAATGTTGCATTCTCAGCTAAATCAGTTTTAACACAAGTACAAATACATTCGGAAGCAACTATTTACAGTGTGTATGTTGTATTAAACAATGCATCATCTTGAGAATACATCTGTAGTCATCAATACATTTACAGTATACAAATCTTTCTTTACAATATAACTTTAACTTTTGTTTTTTATTGTGAGCTTTTTAATGCAATGTTTCCATTGGAAAACTCTCCCTTAATATTGAAGATAAAATACACTGCTTAATAAAAACCAAATATGTAAATGGTGTATGTGCTATTATGTAAAAGTGTGTTATTTTAAAAAGTAATGTTGTTCTTTTATTGCACTCAAACATGCCATGTTTCAAAAATAAAAGTCAACAGAATTTATTCTTTTATAATGTATTTCATTCCAGGGTATAACAGAATGTCTTTTTTTAATAAATATATTGTATACAATATACAGTACAAATGCATATACAAATCAAGGTATCAAGAATTTTACAAATGGTTTAAATATAAATTTTAAAAAATGTAGCATGCCAACATTTCTGAAATTATAGGAAGGGAATTAGAAAAATATGGATCATTGTTTCTGAAAATCCTGAAACTAGCTAATTAAAGACAAAAAAACACTGAAATAAAATCCGTGAACAATTAGGTACATATTGATTGACAAGTTTATGAATGTAGGAAGAACTCGAACCATGGAGGACTTTATATGTAGTTTTGCTGCTACCCCAAAATCAAGTTGAAAACATTCTGGTAGAAAAAGTAAAGATTTAAGCATTGCTTAAATATGACTGCCAGTCCATAAACTGTTAGTGACATTCTGAGCAAGTTGTAATGAGTTAGCTGTCAGATAAACCAGAAAAAGAGAAACTACACAATCAAGACTTACAAAAGCATAGGGCAAGATCTGTACATCCTTCTTATTCAGACAAGTCTAAGCAAACCAAAGCTGTTTTATTCACAAATAAATAAAATTAAAAATAAAATGTAAAACTGAGTCAAGAACGTCACCCAAATGTTTAACACTTGATGACAGTGGAATATACTTTCTGCAAAAGTTATCCTAAAAAATTAAACATAATGATCGTCAAATCCCTTACTGTAGGTTTCAAAATGATTAATCTTTATAATCTACTTGCATTGCCAATTCAGCATAATGTACCTCTCAGCAAGTGTGGTCTTCATTTTCTGAGGAGGTGCATATTAGCAGTATGTTGACAAGAATGAGCATTTGTCTTTCTGTAAACTTAAAGAAGTGAAAAGATTGTAAGTTGTCTTGAAAGCTTTGGGGTGCTTATTAAGGACAAATCCACTGTAGGACTTCTGAGTAGGAGCCAAGAAAGATTTCTTTGGTTTCTGTTCTTGAGTGGGGGAACTTTTAAAGTGACAGTGCTTGCATTTGCACACAAAGATACAGTATATCTTGAAAAGAGTGTCTTGCTAAGTAAGGAGGGTGGAGATATATTTTCTCTGTACCTCTGAGAAATGAGAGGCTGAGAATTGTGTCTGGCTGGACACATAGTCGTATATTTGACGAAAGGAAGTCAACTGTGGGATCTAAATGGAACTAGAATGAAATGCTTTCAAAATTAAATACAACTGCTGTGCAGTGCACCGCGACAACCAGGCACCCCGGAGTTTCTGAAAAAATATTTTCAGCTAGGATCACAAAACCACTTCACTTCAACTTCACATGAGCCACAAATCATTCCCTGAAAATAAAAATTCTCTAAGTAGTGTGTATATGCTGATCCTTACCGTACCTGTTGTGTCCACTGAGCATTTCCGCGAACTCTATGTGAAGTTCTCTAAGCATAGGATTTTAACTGGTTCCACAAACCTAAAGGAATGAGTGGGGAACAATCAAGGCCATGGATAAAAACACTTGTATTTGAATGAGTTTCAATCATGCTTGGTTACTCGTATGATCCGACTGATTCAGATTTGGAATACAACGGCCGCGCGGTGCACCGCGATAACCAGGCACCCCGGAGTTTCTGAAAAAAA